CTGATAATAAAAAAAAAGAGTCCTGACCCGCCGGTTTGCTTCATCTGCTCCGAAACTACCAACACGAACTCTGAGGTATTTATTCCTGAAACGTTAATAGAACAGTCTGGGGTGTCAGATCAGTAAATGAACTCTGGTTTGATCCCATGCCTGTCCAAAGAGCTGATTTAACAACTAGTTGTTTGGTTACTTGATATTTCAGAACTGCAACCGGGCTGTTTGCTACTAACAGCCTTTTGCACGGTGCAATACAGTGGGAGCACGGGGTGCAGACAGCTGGGCATGCGGCCGTGCCGTAGCTGGGTAATCAGCTGCCACGGTTGTCTGTAGCAAGAGATCGTACACGCAATGTTTAATAGCTGTCTAATTTTGCATGGTGAAGAGGAGGGATGGATCTTTCTTCGGCTTACACACAGTCCTCAATTTGTATAAATTACGATTGCTTAGTTGAAGTTAAGAGAACTACAAGAACTTGTACTCACTGAAACTCCAGTGCCAGGCCAGCCTGTGCCCTCTGGATTCCCATCCGCAGCAGGGACCTTTGAGAGCATGACATGGTAACGAAGCACTACGTGTTGTAAACTCCACCTGTACGCTGGCTCTCCTGTGCAGAAATAATCAGATCAATTTAATTTTGGCGACCGCTACTAGACTTCGATCAAGAGTAAGGTCTGTCGTCTACCCACAAAACAAATGCAGGACAGACCATAGGCGTCTGTCGACCCCTCTCTACCCTGCCATGCCAGGATGCCTCTGAGCTCAGTTTCACAGATCTCAGATTACGATTTTCAAAAGCTACCGACTGGTGCTGAATTGAGCGAGCGTTACAGATGGAAGTGCTTTTCACTTGTGCTTGGGTGGGGACTTTGAGTGAAGAAACAGGATGCACTAAGCAGCACTGAGGGGTACGCATCCTTAGGGTTTTACCCTTTTCTTCACTGTAAATTAAAGACATCTTCCGAGGTTTAACTTACACCCGCAATTTTAAGGAAGTAAATTGCATGTTCACAAGAGAAAATATGAAAGAACTTGCAGAACTGAGCAAATGCTTCCTTTTCCCCCTCCACTCCTTTTTAGGTCCTTTCTTGCCAAGCAAATGCACTTACCTGACAGCACGGCTCAAGCGCAGAATACTGGGTGTGTGCAAATTAAACCAGAGATCGACTTGGCACTCATTTAGAACAGAATGTTGTAATGTAAATGTTTGATTTAACAAATTCGGCACCAAACTTTAGCAAAAGATAAATAAATGGGTGAAGTACGCCGAACAGAAAGCACACGTCTTTTATTTCTATAAGGAGTAAGAGAAAGCATTAAAATTCTTCACATTCGCGTTCTTTGAGAACACTGGAAGCTCTCTCTACAGATTGTCTCCTGGCAAAGCACCATAACAAACCCTGCTTATTAAAATCTTTACATTAAAAGGTGCTGCAAAAAACCACCTTGTTGCCAGAGATTCTTCCTTGCTGCAAACCACTGCCCTTCACACGTAGAGCTGGTTACGGAAGTGACCAAATCAGCATGGGAAGAGGATAAGCTTGATGACCTTTAAGACAAACGATCTCAGTTTAAACCACAGGAATAGAAATATTACAGAGCATGTAAAATACTCTCCACTGTTAAAGTTGCTCAACCTTCTAGGCAGTTTAGGTATTATTACTGTATCGTAAATACTGAAATTGTAGTAAGTCTTAAAGTCTAGGCATACAAATAGAAATAATACACAGAGCTAACATTCTCCATTTTTCAGTAATTAATCCAGTATTTCTTTTTTTCTAATTCCTTTTTAAAGCAAAAACAACCACTTAAAATTAGATACCAAATGATGCACTTTTAAGTATGGTTCTGTCCACTGATGCGCCGTTAGTGGAAAGATAAACCAGATGGCAAACTCAATAAAAAGGAGCCAGTTAAATACAGACAGATGAATGCCTAACAAACCCATTCACTCCGTTATTGCTTTTGAATTGGTTGTCATGGCAGTAGGAACGGATACCATTGTCAGCCTCGCATCTCCACCCCGTCCATTTCTTCACAGCCTCTGTCCAAAGCAAAGATCTCACACTGGTGTTGAAAACCACCCTCTTCCTACAGCACTAGGCTATTTCCACCAAAACTCTGCTCACGCCAAACAGGGGACGGAATTTACACCTTTTGTAAAAACAAGTGCATCAAACAGAAGACTGATCTTCAGTCTCAAAATCCAGTTTCAGAATACTGAAGTTCAGGTAATTTTAATCCTGTACTCCTTCCATAGCTTAGCGTTCATCATCGTGAGCCAAAGGACTATCCACTTAGCATGTATCTTCTCTTTGTACAACTGGAACTGCCACGGAAAATAAGTTGTTTGTTAGATTTACGGATTAAAAAAGTCAAGTTTCTCTTTCCCTTGACAACGCCCATTAGGAAGGAACGCTATCTGCCGAACAGACGGAAAAGAGTAAGGGATGCAACTTCATAATAGCCCTGGAAAAGCTGAGTTGTTTTGTCAGCCTCTGAATTTTTTCTCCTCCCACTCACATTCACATTTTGAGAATCTATTAAGTTAAAATTGGTAAAATCCGCTAAAATAAAAACCTTAGAATGTCACATTGTAGTTGCATTACATTTCTCTCTTTAATAGAGCGCATAAGATGAAAGTTTACAATGAGTTTAGTAAGCTGTAAATTAGCACTTTTATTCAGTCTAGTTCTGAGCTATTAATCCCTAATACAGAAACAGAACGCTGATGCATTGGTCTAGGACCTCTCGAGAGAATAGTTCAAATCCACTCTGATGACATGGAAAGTGAATTTCATTGAATCACCTGAGGCTCTTCTAGATACATCATATCGCACAATAACTCAACATTCACATAGCTTACAGTCTTAACTCTCAAGGAAAAAAAAAATTCCCTTCTGACTTCAGTGAGCTGCAGTTATGGAAAACAAGTGGAAGTTTGCTCAAATAATTGTAGGCAAGTACTTAATCAGGCTACGTGCTTCGTCAGTAGTATTTTAGGTAAAGCAACCCATTATTGTGGTGCATCAATACAGCAACCCTTTCCATCGCTCCTTTGTGATGCACTGAGTCAGTCTTTTTTGCATCATTAGCACTGACAACACAATAAACACAGCGCTCTGATCTTCAGCAGAACAGTAAAAACACAGACCACAACAGTCGATTAATTTTAAAGAATTTTAATACAAACTTAATATAAACTATTTCAGTCCCTCTTAACATGTAAGACACTGACTCAAAATACTTTTATACCTTTTTTCAAGTATTGCACAATGTAGGTACAAAATTAATATTTACGATTACATTTTCTTCCATAATATATAGCAAAAATCTTTAAACTTTTAACAGAAAATACAATTTGTGTTTCTTTTGAAAAAAGCAAATATTTCGTACATTTTAATTCCACCACTAAGGAATATTCTGTACACAACTTTTTATTTTTTTTTTTTTTAGAATTGATGTCTTTAAGATGGATATCTTACAATTTCAGTAAAAAAAATACAACATGAAGCTGCTGCAGCTGTCACAGATCACTGTAGTAAAAAGATATAAATGCAATACCATGTTGTAGAAACAATATATATACTCTGATATTTTACAAACTTTGTACTAAATTAAATTATACAATTAGAAAAAGACCAATAAACCCACCTATTAGTGCCAATTTTTTACTATATATATACATATATGTTTGTGTCCATATACATATACACATGAAAAAAATTAGCCACGTCCTTGCTATATCTTAAATACTGTAAGAGGCCATATTTTGAGAGTATATTTTTTTAATGTACAGTCAGTATAAAATAATTTTGTGCTTGGTCGGCAAATGAAAAAATGATGCATGTTGTATTTATCTAACCAAGCTTGAATGTATTCATACTACAAGCCTTAAAAAAAATCTCAAGAGGTGGAAAAAAAGATACACCCTTGGGTACGTGCATTTTAACTTGTACAATAGTATTTACTTGTATTTCACTTTCGTTTTATTTTTAGTTAGCCATAACTGGCTGGAATTGCTGGTTAGAATACTGCATGTTGTTTAAACTAAAATTCAAGCCATCCACAAAAGACTTCTCATTTAGACCACCATAGGCTGCAAACATATCAAAGGCATTACTGTACTGGAGAGGACTGAGGTTAAGGGGGCTGTCACCAGGAAAGATGCTACTGGTACTACCTTGACCCTGCATGTTGGGGAAAATGAACTCCTTTGCGTTAGGAGAAAGGGCAGAAGTCTTCTGCTGTTGTTGCTGCTGCTGCTGCTGCTGCTGACTGCCTAAGCCAAGCCCGTAGAGAGAGTGCATGGAGGAGGAAAGGGCTTTCTGCTTCAACAGGTCATTGACATTCAAGCCAAGGTTGGTGGGAGAGGTGCGGGCGACCTTGTTGCTACGGCCGCTATTCTTCATTTTGGTCGAGCCAAACTTGGTGGCAGCAAATGTGGCAGTGGTGAAGGTTAAAGGCTGAGTGGAGCGGGGCATGAAAGTTGGGCTCACAGCAGCAGAGTGACCAAAGGGAGGAGAAGGAGAACTAGACACTGAAGATGCTGGGTCACTAATTGGCATGAACACCTGGGCCTCTGGGTTAAAGCTGTTCTTGATTTCCTTATCCAACTCACATCCATTTTCATTATCATCCACATAAAGCACTTTCACTGGTCCCTTTTCACCGATTTGGTATGAAACCTCAAATGGGTCAATCCAAACACTAAGATCCTGAGGCAAGTTGCCACGAACATCATCAATGTCCAAACCACTCTCTTTGGATGCTTGTTCTATGACCGGGTCCACTTTCTCCCCTACATGTATACATCTAAACCCTGATCCTTTGTATGGCTTTTCTGGATACCAGTGCCCTTCATACTTCTTCTTAAGAAGTCTTTCAAGCTCTTCACCAAAAATGTTGACACGTCGTCTGGGAAGCTTATTGTACAAATATGAAATAATAAAATTGAGTGCTACTTGGATTTCAAGCTGCATAGCTGCTATGCCACAAAGTTATAAGTCTGTTTCAAAACCCGAAGAAGAAGAAAGTGTTCAAGATGCCACAGGGAAACAAAATTTCATTCAAAGTGCTGATTCTAGTCGATTATTATCCTTCACCTTGAGTGCTCTTGTTCCTTTAAGAAAAAACAAAAGCAAACACATCCAAATAAGGAAAGCGTAAGATCAAGCTCCAAGGCCTATTCTTTTAGCTTCACTTTCTGCATAGAACAGGTTACTTTTTAAGCCAAAAAATGTGCATCAAACTATTTATGTTCACGCCTGTGGAAAGTGAAGACGTCAACTACATTCAGTATGACTTACAAACAATACTGCAGAAGATGCACTAGGCATGTGTTTACAGATACAGCATGGGGCATTTCAAAATCACATGAGCTTGCCGTTTAGTTATTCACAAAGCAGCAAGGGTAATTTTTAAGACATCACAGACTGCCAGGCCTGTCAAGGGTTCAATTACCAACCCATATTTGGATGATTTATAGTACTCAGCTGCAAAATTTAGCACCAGACTATTAGTTTAGCTTGCAAGGTCTTAGTCCAAGGGTCATCTATCATTTTAAAGTCTGCAAACATATTGGTTGCACTGTAAGCTACAGAATTATAAAAATGTTAACAGTTGCTTTAGAAGATTTTACACAAATAACTAAAATTATGCAACACTTATTTTAAGTCCGAGCAAATCATCTGCATAAACTGTGCGCTGGCGAAATTATGCTAACTGAAGAGAAAATGTCCGCTGTTCATATACAACAATTCTTCCTCGGAATAGCTGAAATGATAATGCAGTGCATACAAAACAGATGCATGTATCTTCTGTCATAAGGGTGGCAATGACTGTGAGATTATTACAATAAATTAATCCACAAATTTTTCCCTTTCTACAAATTATTCTGTATTCCCAGATGTAATATATATTAATATATACTAAATTCATATATCGTGTTGTCTATAGTCCAGATTTCAAAAAGTTACTAGAGCCAACAGGGCTTCTGATAAGTCTCAAAAACGATTGCTTTTCTCCTTCTCCGTGACTCCATTTTATATTTAATATAAAATATGGTTGCCACTCCTTCACAAAGGACAAAAGAGAAATTAGCTCTCTAAAGTAAAAGAAGGGACAAGAATCGAGTATTAGCACACATACTGCTAATGAAAATTCTGCAGTACCTTAGCACGAAGGTACTCATCCACAGGAGACACCTTTGTTCAAAAAGTTCCAATGAAACAAAATACGTATTTCTTGGCTCAAGTTAAACGCCCAGCGAGAATTTCAATTAACACCGTGCTTTTCTGCACTGCATCACTAGGAACAAAATTTAGCGTAGCTCTCACTGAAGATTAGAGAAATCAAAGTCAACATCAAAATCCTTTAACAATAGGAATACAATGGGTTTTTTTTTTATTTCTTGCTC